CAAAAATTTATTTTGAAAATTAAGGGGTTAAATATTTTAAAATTAACAATGAGTTTCTTATTTACCATAAATCATGAAAAGTATTCTGATAACGAAACCCGAATAAACACCATATTTTGTGCAATTGCTTAAAATGCTTACTTTACCACATTCGCATACGCCAACATACAACCATATTTATGTAGCAAATAAAATATGCGAAAAGTAAAGACGAAAATAATAAAACCACTTGCGGCATTTAATTTGTTCATGCCTATTCAGTAATATCCTTGTATATTAAACAAAACAAAACAGAAGAAACGAAAAAATTCTGCACACAAACAAAAAAAATAAAAACGCAAAACAGAAGAACGAAAAAAAAAAAACCCAATTTAATATCAAAAATTCCAATCTTTAAAAAAAAAAAATTTTTTTTCGGGGGAGGATAAAAGTAAAAAAAAAAAACCGAAAAAAAAATTTTTTTTTTATTTTAATTTTTTTTTTCTTCTTTTCTTTTGCCTTTTTCTTTCTCTTTTGAGAGTTTCTCGCAATTACACTGGCAAACATTTATTCATACATACAACAAAACCTATACATAATTTAAGGATATGTAAATAAATATGTATATGTATGATTGTGTGTTGTTGATGAATATAATTTTGTTGTAATAAGAGGCAGAAGTAATAAGGCAATACTGGCAACAAAGTAATATCGTGTGTATTGTAAAAGGCATTCTACAAAAACAAAAAACACAGAAAACAAGAAAAGAGAAAAAAAAAAACGGATCAAAAAGAAAAGTAAAAATAAAAAAAAAAAATATTTTTTTTTTAATTTTTCTTTTTCAAACAAAAACTGCCGACATCGTTGTTGTATAGTCGTAGTCATTCTCATCGTTGTCGTTGTCGTCGTCGTCGTCGTCATTCTCATAGTCGTTGTAATAGTCGGTCGGTCGCAATATATATATATATATATATATATACGTATCATATTGTGTGTTGTTATTCTATATGTACATATATATGTATATATGTTTGTATAGTCATATATTTTATTATAATAGATGTAATGTAGATTTTTTTACTCTCTATAGAATATTTTCATTTTTTTTTTTTCTGTAGAAAATATTATAAGAGAAGGACTTACTTTACTTACTTATTTACTATACGAAAAAAAAAATGTATGTATATGTAATATGTATTAATAGTATAGAAATTGTGTATATATACAGTCAGTTGCAGAATTATTTACACAAAAAAAAATTAATTAATGAATTTCATTAGGAAAGTTTAAAAGAATTATAATAAAATATTTACATTTAATTAATCATATTCAAATTTAAAATTTCCGATTTACATAATCTCATTCAAAATAATGTTTTTAGATATACATATGTAGTACAAATAAATTTATGTAATTCTCTCTTTGAATTTTATATTATAAAACACCTTGTTTTGACAGTCAAAGAGCCTGATCATCTATCTCGCTATTTTACTTGGCAAGCGAGAGGAAATTGAGCAACTATTATATATTTAATAATGTCATTTTAGAGTAAGAAGAATTATTTGGTATTGCGTATCTCGTTTTTTTTCTAAAATACATACAAAATTTATTCACTTCTGTTCTTGAAAGTGAAAGACATTATTGTGAAAGACATATTTCCGATAATTTGAGAAAAAATACAAAAATCCTATTGAATAAATGAATAATCTTATTGGAATAATGAAATATCCATTTGAAAAATGGAAAATTCTGATTTGAAAGTGAAGAAAAAATGAGAAGAAAAAATGAGATACACGATTAGACTGCAAATAAATGTTATTATTGACAGATTGAATATTGTAAAATTTTTATGAAATGTCTATGTTATTTTGACATTTTTAAAAATTAAATTCTTTAGTTAATATTATCTAAAATTACATTACAATTTTCCGTTCTTGGATTAATTATATGGTTAATTAATTATATGATTAATTATATGGTTAATTATAATAAACTATATTATGAAATGAATATAATATACTGACATTTATAAAAATTACACTCTAGGTTTTTATTACGCTCATCAGATGGAAATGTGACGTATGTATTTTAGAGATATGGATTTGTAGGAGATAATAAATGCTAGCGTTATGTATTTTACGATAACAAGAAATAGTAATTACTAGCAATTGTACACGTGCATAGGGTAACCCTTACATACATTCCCGAACTCAAAAAAATACGCTTTAAATATTTGTAATCGTATACATCTATAATTTTTTGTGTTGTGTCACATACCATCATTTGACATTATTTTATATTTTGACAAGAAAAATTTTTGTCTCATAAAAATCGGTCATTTTAAACTTACCGTTAGAGGTTCTTTTTTTATTTCAATATATTAAATAGAAACTATTAATTAATTAATATACTAATTAAATAATTAAATAATAAATTTACGCTTGTATTCAATGCAAATTCTTAATTCCACTCACTGTATATACAACTACATATGTATGTGTATTTAAAATTGTTATACTGTTAATTTTATGCTCCCTTTTAACAAATTTACTTACATAAATATTATATATATATACATACATATATGTATTTATATTTGGAAAATAAGAAGAAGAAAAAAATGGAAAAAAAAAATATAAAAATTATAAAATTTTTTTTTTTTCTGTGGTTATCGCGTTTACTACACAAATATATTTATATGCATCCATATGTATATTATAATGTACGGTAAGGTCTAAATATGTGCATATATCGATAAATTTTTTTTTTTTTCATTATAATTTTTATATTTTGTGTCGATTATTATTTATATATTTTTATATTTATATTGTTATATACATATATGAATGTATGTATGTATGACGTATTTTTCAAGTGTTTGTATGAATGTTAATTATGAATGGATATGGATGAAGATATTCGCATATATATTTATAAACACTTGTACATTGATAATAATATTTTTGTGGAGTAAAAAATTTTTAAGGATAAGAAAAAAAAATTATATTTGTATATATATGTATATATATATATATATATATACAAAAAAAAAAATTTTTTTTTCTGTGTTCCTTTCTTCCTTTTTAATTTTTTTCTTATTGTTTGTTTTTTTTTTTTTTGGAATCCTTATGAGTTTTTGAGTTTCTTTGATGATTTCAATTCAAATAGAAAATAAAAAAATTTTGTATATGTTTTGTTATTATTGTTGCTGTTGTTGTCGTTTTTGTTATTATTAACTTTTTGTTCTTATATTTTTTTTTTTTTATTTCTATGTTTTTATTTTTGTTGTGTGCCGTTTTCATTCAGTCTAAAAGAGTCGTGTTCGCGAGTAAGAAGTGTGACCGTCGCATACCGTCGTCGTTTTTTTTATATTACTCTTATACATACATACATACATTTAAAAATTATTATATTGTATTATATTACCATATATTATTATTATTATTATACATAAATTCATATAAGCATATACAATACACATATATATATATACAAAATATATATATATATATATAAATATAAATTTAATTGATAAACAAAAAATAAAAATTACATATACTTATATTATGTATAATTAAATGTAAATGAATATTTATATTAATAAAATAAATTAATTAAAAAAATATATATATTATAATAGATTTAAAATTATAATAAAATTATTAAAATAAGGATTATAAAATTAAATAATTAAACAAAAAAAAAATTAAAAGAAAGAGAATAATAGAAGAATCAAAATATAAAGCAAAAAAAAAAATTCAAAGAGGAATTAATTTAAATAAAATTTTTTGTAATAATATATATGAGATTAAAATCTCCTTATGATCAAAACAAAAATTAAATAATATTTTGGAAAAAGCCATCAACAGTACATAATCATCATTAAGGATTAATTAATTTTTTTTTTATTGCAATTAAAAAAAAAGAATTAATTTTAATAAAACATAAACAACAAAATTAATATAAAAGTGGAAAAATTTATAAATAAACAAAGACAACAATAATAATAACATTAAAAATAGAAAAATCAACAATAATTAAATATAAACAAACACACACACACATATTTAATAACAATAATGGATTTAATTTTAAGTACAATATATGTACATATACACAAACATATATATATAAATGAGAAATTATTAATTAATTAATTAAATGTTAGAATATTATTTTTAAAGCAAAACAAAAGCAAAAAATTTAAAAGAATATAAAATCAAAATTGCAAAAAAAAATTTTTTGAAATAAAATTTCGAAAATTTTTCCAAAAATTTATAAAATTACAATCAAGAAAATTTTAAAAGAATTACAAGAATAAAGAAAAAATTAATCTAGTAATTAATTTAATTAGAAAAACACAAAAATTATTAATAATAATAATTAAGAAATAATTAAATGAAAATTTATGAGGAAAAATCCGATTATTGTGTACCAATACCATATACGACCACCCTGTAGAACCAACAAACAAAAAAAAACATAACAATATATAACATATTAAAAAAATATCAGCCAACCAACCAACCAACATTATTAATAACACAATCAAAAAGTTAAAAAAATAACAAAAAAGCGAAGAATATAAAACAAAACAAAAAAACAAACAGAAAGAAAACAGAAACAGAAATCAAGGAAAGAAAAGAGAAAAAATATAAATTTTTTTTTTTTATTACAATAACAAAAACAAATATTACTGTATATTAATAACGGTAATAACAAAAACAATAGCATATAGAAAATAATAATAATAACAGTAATTTGTTTTTATTTCAATATTTCTCTTTTCATTAATTGTGTTGTTGTTGTCATACAAAATATTTCTTTTCTTTTTTGAGAAATTTTATGCTCTCGTTTTTGTTTTTTAATTAATTTGATAAATTAATTAAAAAATAATTAAATTAAATTAAAAAAAAACCAAGTGAAAAACAAGAAATAAACGAATAAAAAAATAAATAATAAGAAGAGCATAATAAAACAAAAAAAGACAAATTTAATTGAAAAGAAATTAAAATGAAAAAGAAAATAAATAAATAAATAAATTAAGAAAAAATAAATATTAATTATTAAAATTAAATAATCAAAAAAAAAATTATAGAAAAAGAAAATTTCGATTATTAAAAATTGAATTTTTAATATAAAAATTCACGTATTAAAATTGAAAGTATTCTAACCTCAAAACTAATTTGAAAATGTGTGTTTATAATATTTGACATACATACACACGTATACACACACTATATGCATGTGGCACATAAATACCAATAAAAAGGAAGTGGTCATTATTCCAGGATCTTTAATATTTATATTGTGCGAATTTAAAGATTATTATTAGAAGAAAGAAAGAAAAACAAGAAAAATTATTTTGAATGAAAAATAAAAGAAAGAGAAAAAAGAAAAAAAATTTTTAAATAAAAAAATTTTTTTAAAAGAAGTTTTAAAAAAAAAGAAATTAAAAATTTTATTTGTGTTGCTGTTTTTCGTTTTTTTCCTTTCCGTTTGTTTGTTTTTTCTGTTTTTTTTTTTCTTTGTGTACAAGAAAAATGTGTTTTTGCCATCATACCGTATAATGTCGTGCGTATATATTCGCGTTTAAAACAAGTGATTGTATGTGAGTAAATGTGTAATTTTTTTGAGGTTAATAAATAACTGTAACTATATTTAATAACAGAAATGAACAGTTAAATTAAAAATTACCGTTAAAATATAAATTATACACATACATAGAATCGCGGGTGTATATTATTAACATATATATATATATATATACAAAAATAGAGTTAAAAAATCAAAGTTAAAGAAAAGTTGAATAAATAAATAAACAACAACAATAACAGCAACAGCAACAATAAGCATACTAATAATAATAAAAAATCAGAAATCACAATAATATAAAACGAAATAAAATAAACAAGAACAGAAAAACAGCAAAAAAAAAAGGATAAATGAAACTCAATTGACACTTGGGATAAAGGTAATAAAAAAGTCTATAGAAACAAAAAAAAGTAGAAGAAAAAAATAATCGCACATAGCGATTGTTGTTTTCTCTTTCTATTTTTTTCTTTTGTTTTTTTTTTTGTTTATTATTAAAAAATATAATTACATACTTATATAATATTTTTGTAATACACATACATACTTCCATTTTTTTTAAGATTAATTGTTAATTTATATTGTGAATTATTAATTATTACAAAATAAAATAAAATGAGTTTTTTTCAAATTTATATTAATTAGATTATTATAACTTTACGATATTAGAGAGCTTATGGTTGTAAGAACTTACTCTCTTTGAAATTTTTCAATTGACATTAAGCTGTATATGAAATTGAAGGTCCTTTTTTTGGATAGTAGGTCATTTGCAATTGGATAGTAGGGCAATTTTCTTATATTTAGTAGTCTTTGATTAAAAATTGTTAAAGCTTCTTTTTAAGATTCTTTCAGGCACTACTGCATATTACTTCATATAATTATTATTTTGTGTATGCAACATTTTTGACATTGTTAAATTTTTGCAATGATGAATTTTTTAAAACGGATGGTTAAGGAACAGAGGTGATAACAATTTTTGAAATAATTTCAATTGATACAGAGTGAGTGACAAAAATGAGTACAATATCAAATGTAATTCTGGTTAGGAATTCGGTGTGTGGCTGAAATAAAAAATTCAGAATTTTGAATTTAGGAAAAAACATAAAACGAAAAAATGGAGAGGAAGGAAAAGTTATTAGCTTTGAAAATGTAAATTAATTAGTAAAATTTATGAAAATATTTAAAACACTTTTTTTAGGGTAGAATGTGATTGTTATGCCATAATAAAAAAAAAGTGAAACGAAAAATTCTATTAAAATTCTCTAAAGCTAATTCTAAAAATCATATAGTAACTCATTAAGTTTTATACCTAGTTCATGGTACATTTTAAAAATTACATAAACTACAACATTTTGGATTTCTTAAGTAATTCCCAAAACCCCTAAAATTATTTAAATTATAAAATATAGTGATGTGTCGTTATTACAAAAAAAATTCACTATAATCGCATTGAAAAGCATAATTATAAGAATAATAAATTGAATTATAAAGAGAAAAATTATAAGTAGAAAATTGAATTGATGTAGAGTAATAGGATAGAAAACATATAGGAAATATAAATAGGTAAATACTCGTATATATAATTCTAATATGTCAGTAGCTCAATTCTAAATTTTAATATTCTAATTTGATAAAAAGAAAACAAAAATGGGATTTATGATCAAGATAATTTTTCTTAATTTGAAATGTTTGTATTAAAATGTAATATATGCAATAGCCTAAAAGTATGCAATTTTTAATGAATTAGAAGCAACTATTTTTAATTAATCTTGCTCTTACTACTATATAACTAACGCTTTAATATAAATAATGAAAAAACAGTTCGTATGAATATTAGTCGAAATGTTAAATATAGAGACTTGTGTAAATAAGTAAATGTAGTGACTGATAAAAATTTTTTATAAACGAAAAATTAATATTGTGTCGAATCCTTCAAATTGTAGATTTTTGAAAAATTTACAATAATTAAATGTGAAACACTGCCGTTGGGAAAAGCAAACCGATTTTAGAAAAAAGCGAATATGTCCAAGACTAACGTGTTTGCTGTTGGAAATTTGATACGAATTAATTTAATATTATCTAGACCTGTTAAGCATTTTATTTAGCATGAAAACCTTTAATTTAGTATAAACGAGAAAAAATAGAGTTGACCGTATCAACTCTGTGATACCCGTACGAATTTTGAATAAATATGGCAGCTTATGAAACAAGTTGCACAGTCATTTAAAAATAGTGACAAAAAAGCAACAGTGTTTGTGGCCCACAACATTATGTAGTGTTTATACTGCAGGGTTAAAAGAAAAATCTTTGGTTACACAAATTTCTCTTTGCTTTTCTTTGTTTTCCTGTATGCTGCGTGCATGAAATGATTTACAAAACTTAACATACTTATCTGATAAAATTCATCTAGAATGCAACTGTTTTAGCATCAGACCTATAGTACACTTTGAACATTAGGCTACAATAATCAAATTGAATCTTAATTAAAAATCTAACAATTACAAACCAAATTAACTTCTTATGGCACAAAATATTTTCCTTTAACCCACACTCTTCATTTCACAAATTCATTGAAAATCTAGAAAATCTTCTTAGAACAAAAATTATTATTCATATTGGCCGTTTATTATTCATGAAAATTTATAAGAACCACTTGTTGTTCATATATGTATGTATAAATATATTTTTGCATGAAGAAATAAATGAGAAGCATTAAACAATTTGGTTTATCGTTCAAAAATATTATGAAAATTAAATTTGTTTTCTCTTTAATTAAATGATTGTAATTTGCATATTAAAATTACATAAAATTTTCTAAATAGTCAAAGAAATTTTTCAGAACCCACCCACATAAATACTTACCGTATTAGTCGCCACAAATTTACATCCTATTTAAACAATGAATAAAACTAAAATAAGGGTAAAAATTATGTCAACCTTTATTTTTCAAATATTTGTTCTTTATTTTATTACCTTATTTTTTTTTGAATAACCATTTTTCGTTAGAAAATGATTCAATTAAATAATTTACTTAATTTAAAAACTATAAAAAAAAAAAATTATTACTAAGTTTTTTTTCCATTTTTTAACGCATATAGCCGAGCATTGTTTAAAAAACAACACACCTTGCAAACAATTTATTTATTTAACCCCATTTTTTATTTCCATTGGTTTCAAATACACTTTTAATCGCACCCCCTCGAATTTCAATATAAAAAAAAAAAATAATTTTCAAAAAATAATATTAGTTTTGTAGGCTGCACAACCACAAAATATTATGCTTTTTTTTTTATGATTATTTTTTCCTTAAGTGATTTAAATTTATCCGAAATTTTTTATTATTACTTTTTTTTTTCATTTTTCTTATTCTTTTTTTTTATATTTTTGGGTCTGTGTTTTTTTCAAATCGAATCGATTCAAATAACATAAATTTTACCCCCTAAAGTTATATCCTGAAAAAAAAGGAACGATAATGATAAGAAGCAATAATAAAAACAGAAAAAAAAACGAAATATAAAATTATTGTAAAATATTGAAATTTGTGTTTTTCAAACTTTTTAAACTGTGTCTGTAGTTTTAGAAACAGAACCAAAGCAGTGAACGGCAACGACAAACGATTTCCGTTGTTAACTCTTAATTTAGCGGAACGGCAAAATCACATGCTCACTAGTTTGAATATAATGTCACAGATACATGGTGGAAACAGATGACATAATATTTTACTGCCGGCGGTTAATTTCGCAGCACTATTTCGATTGATTCCAATTTAAATATGTGTATTCTATATGAATTGTGATTTTTGGAAAATCGCTTTCGTTCTGCTTTAAATTTAAATTGTATTTTGAAGAACTTAATCATGATGTGATCAGTAGAGAGAGAATAGATAAAGAGTAATGAATAGATTTTAGAGAGAGAATAGGTTGACAATAATGTTGACTTTAAATGTCAATTAAATAAAGCAAGAAAATTTGACATAATATGAATAAAGTACTTTGACAGATAATATTTTTTTGTCTTTTATGTTTGTTTATTATTAATATTATACACATTTTTGTTGTGTAAATTTAGATGACGACTTATTTATCCGACTAAATATTTAAGACATGTCAAATATACGTAATTGCAAAACATTGAATATTGAATTCAGTCAGCATATAATTGTATAGTGTTAGTTTTACTTAATTTGATTTTACAGAAAATTTTTGTATTTGTTCTTCAGAGTCTGATTCATTTAGAATTGGAATACTCATAATTAATTTTGGTTTTTTTTTTTCACTATAGTCAGTATTTTTTCAATTGCTTACAGTCGTGCCACAAAATTTGATAGCGTTATAAAGAGAGTAATTTCAGAATTCATACTCTCTCTCGTGTGACCATAGAGTAATATTCAGTATTCAGTGTTGAAATCTAGGCGAATATTATCAGTGTTTAAGTATATTAGTTATTTGTAAGGAACAATTTTCATAATTTTTTTATGATCCTCACATAAAGGAAAACGCACTTTTTTTCTTGTATATTGTTTTTTTTTTCAGACAAAAACTGTATAATCGTTAGTTTGCATGTGTAGCAATTCAACTATAAACTTAATGTCATTTATTATTTTGTCAAATAAAATTTTTGATTTACAATTAAACGTCAATAATTTGTCTAAGTAATGAAGATTTAAACTTTCATAGGGCCTTTGTATATTTGTATTCTCTATAGTCGGAAGTTGTTACTTTCTGTATATCTCACTTTGTGTACTCCTTTCATTTACAAATTAGAAACATTTTTGACGTAGAGCCTTTACAAATTGTTAAACGAAGAATTACAAAATTTTCAGTATTCTCTGTTTTTCTCACACTAATATATACAACCCACAAAAACATTTAAAGCTATTAGAATTTAAACATTTTAAATTATTATTGTTTTCTGATTGACAATTTGAAATTAAAATTTTTTGATCACACATTTAGAGTGTCACCTTATGTAAAACACTAGTGTACATTTGAATTGATGTCTATAGAGAGTTTTCGCAGCATTATTAAGAATACAAGTGTAAAAAGACCTATATGTAATAAAAATTGTACTGCCATTTTTGCATTGTCTGAGCATTTGAACTGTCAAAATATTTTTTTAAGAAATTATATATTCAGTTAATCAAACGCCATCTATAAACAATATTTTCATATATTTTATTAATTAAATTTTGAGAACCACTATAATTGAAGAGAATGTGTGTTGAAACAAAAACAAGGAAAAAAGAAAAAACAAAATTCAAACAAACTAAACAAACAAACATTGAAAAAAGCTTTAAGGATATACGAAAAAAATATGAAAAAAAAAATATCAAAATACTTAATGTTCTTACATTTTAAAGTTATTTTAAGCATTTGTGACTCA